ATGGATATATACGTGTGTTTACTATATATCGATGGCATACTGTGTGTACGGACATTAAGTTTGAGATCCGAGAGAGAGAGAGAGAGAGAGAGGGGGGGGGACTGTGAGATGACATGAAATTATTGAGCGATTGAATGGCAAGAAAAGCATTTTCCAATCCCTCGCTATAGATATGTATGAGAGATATGAATAAATCGATTGAATGAAAGGCATCCTTAAGATGAGTGGCTTTTCTCTCTATTCCCTCTTTCTTTCTCTTCGCTCATCAGTTAAACAAAAAGCTAAAAAAATAATACAAAAAAACTTTTGAATAATGCATCGCAAATGAGTTGCAACTTTTTAGCTCTCTCTCTCTCTCTCTCTCTCTCTCTCGGATCTCAAACTTAATGTCCGTACACACAGTATGCCATCGATATATAGTAAACACACGTATATATCCATACAATAAAGCCATTGTGCAAATATACATACAATAAATCTGTTCACATTAGATATGATTTATACACACCATTGGCACCAGAATTGTAATGGATTACAATAGGAAATGAGCCCATTTATGTATCTACTTACATGTATAGTAAATAACATGTATATAGAATATAATATACAGAATATTCACGTTAAATAACATGGTATTTGTTATTCACGGTATGCATTGAGAGATTGGGATAGAGTTGGCTGTAGTTTATATGCAAATGAAGGGTGAAATGACTTTATTTTATGTTTTTTTTCTATGCCTTACATTAGATTTGGCGATAAATTGAATCAAATAAATCAAATCCAAAGCACAATATTTAAGATTTGAGTTTCAATTTGTATTTTTCAATTCCCACTCCGGGTTCCCATCCGTTCACCTAATTATACAATAATTGAATTTCTTATAATGTATTCCTATTGTTAGCCGTAAATCAAAATTGATATATAAAAAGTCAACAATTATTTTTATTTTTTGCATTCAATTTCCTTAACATAACCTCAAAATTAAATTTTAAACAATTTTTTTTTGCTTTAAATATAACTAAAAATACCGATTCATCGACTGTTTTGTTGAGCGATTTTGATTGATATAACAAAAGGAAAGTTTTGAGAGTTTGTGTTGTGTTTTTCCCCTTGTATTCAAATTTGAATATAATTTTAAAATGCATTTTAAATAATATGCATTGAAAGGGACTTTCCGTGTGTTTATGTAATCGTTAAAAAATTTTAATCGACAAATATATGCAAAAATAAAATTAAAATTAAACAAATAATTGAAAACCCATTTTACCACTTAAAGCGTAAAAATAGCTCTCTCTCTCTCTCTCTCTCTCTCTCTCTTTCTTTCTTTCTCTCCATCCCTTCCCCATCCATATCCTAATAGTGTTATTGCATTTAATTAATTAATTTCTGTGTAATTTAGCATTTTGTTTGCTCTTTGCGTTTCTGGTGCTCACACTCTAGTGGTGTAAGAAATATATCCTATGGATATATAATACACACATGTTTTATATGCTATATAAAAATAGCAAATTTTTATTTAATTTTACATTAATTTGTTTTAACCATTTGTATTGTGAAGCCCGTAGCGAATCATCTCTACTACAAAATACAAATACAATGTAATGAAGTTTTGGCAAAACAATTATATTTATTGCATATAAAATCTAAACCAATTATTTGTGTCACGAAAAATACACTAAACATACAAAACATACAAACAAACAATCAATAGATTTTAGTCCAGAGAGAGAGAGAGAGAGAGAGAGAGAGAGAGAGAGAGAGCTATTTTTACGCTTTAAGTGGTAAAATGGGTTTTCAATTATTTGTTTAATTTTAATTTTATTTTTGCATATATTTGTCGATTTAAATTTTTTAACGATTACATAAACACACGGAAACATTCTTGTGCCGCAAAATATAAAACTTTAAGATTAATGATAGCAATAGTTATAAGAGATGAGAGAGAGAGAGAGAGAGAGAGATGTTGGAGGGAGAAAGGGATTGCATAAGTGATAGGACTGGTAGTTAATGACTGCTGTATATGCATATATGTATGTATTGGATGTGTTATCCGTTAATTTACAGCACCGGTAATGAAAGACATTTGGATTATAATCAATGAGAAAGTCTTTTCCAGTGAGAGAGGGAAGAGAGTAATGATATATTGAAAGCAAATGTACTGTAAATATACCGATCGGTGTATAGTATGTGTACACGAATTGTGTTAGTATTTTCATTTTGAGAGTATATTTTATGGGTAAAAACGGTTTTATTAGTTGTGTTGTAATGTTTATTATTAAATATATGAGATGTGTGTTTTTGGTCGTGTATTTATTTAAGTGCCAAGCGCACTTTTTTGTTCCCATACAAAATGACCCATTTTTTAGGCCTAATCGCTAAGTTTCGTCTCAATTATCATAATAAACATCACAATTATATATGTATTTTGTTTTATATAAATTATTATACGCTGTCTTTCGCATCAATTTTCGCACATTTATTATACATTAGTCTCAGGAAAATGAAAATGTGAGCCAAAAACGCAGTTTTGTACCAATCAATCAATATATTTGCCTATAGTTTAATACATGATATTTATATACAATGTATAATAGAGTCAGCGATTGGGAGGAAAAACTGAGAAAATTGTTTAGAAATTTATATTTTGTTTAAAAGCAGCGAAAATTTGCCAAAAAAAAGCCTTGTTTAATATCAATCAATTGTCAAATAGTTTTATATTTTGTTAACACTTCAATTAGACCGTCATTTCACGTATAATTCAATTAGTTTTTGGGCAATATTTTAAACATTTAGTTATGTTTGTAATATTTATTGAAAGCATAGGGTATGGGATGAACTAACACTTCAGACATATGCCAGTAATTGCAAAATTGGTATAAATTTCGGGCAAATTTAGGAAATTTTCAATAAATAATAAGCAGAGAAAATATAGTTCACCAAAAAAAATTAGATCAAAAATTTTAAATTTAAATGTTTTTTTGGTGCAAAAATATATAATAAATTTTCAGTCACTATTCAAAAGGAAATTTATATGGACTTAAAGTACACCTGAGAGCCACAGTCTAGCGATAAATCAATCAATTATTTATATTTATAACTGTGTTATACATAATGCTATACATATGGACCCCAAATCCATGCCCTCTGGCCATCACTTGTCAGTACAATACATAACAAACTGTGCGGTTAAACACAGTATACATAATAATTGTATATAATTTATATTTTAACCCCAAAAATACTAAATCCAATTCATTATTATTATGATTACATTAATAACATATACGTTATTATGAGTGCGAGTCTTCTGTGGCAAACAAAATGACAATAATTTATTGCAATTTCAAGTTTGCGGCGAAAATTTTGTATTTTGCAAAAAATAAAATAAAACAAAATATCATATTATATACTGTATTATCCGTCAACTCCTATACCCTGAGTGTCGGTGCGATTGGACTCTCGGCTTAAGAGTCGAGGGAATGGTATGGAAGAGAGAAATAAATATTAAAATATCCTTTTTCTGGCTGTCATTCTTGTGCCGCAAAATATAAAACTTTAAGATTAATGATAGCAATAGTTATAAGAGATGAGAGAGAGAGAGAGAGAGAGAGAGAGAGAGAGAGGCAAGAAGTCTTTGCTATGAATACAAAAGGAAATAAAATAGTTTATATATTTTTTCACTGAAATATCACTAAGAATTAGCATTTCTTTTAGTCGAGAAAGAAAGAAAGAAAGAGAGAGAGAGAGAGAGAGGAGAGAGAGAGCACAATATACTGAACGTAAGACTACTTTATATAATATAGACATTCAGTGTCTATAATAAAGAGGAAGAAAATCTCATGAATCGGATCTAATTGTAGTGAAGGAATGCCATAATATTAACGCTAATAACACACAGAGTTATGCAATAATTGTGTGCTTAATAATAATAGTAACAAAACAATAATTGTTTGGCACAGAAATAAAATATATATATTTTGTACAACAACTTTATTACTTCTTCGGGTCATTTATTACTATCCTTTTGTGGTGTTATTTAGTAATGAGTGAAATATAAATTTTTATAAAAAAATTTTGCTAAATTTTAATTCATTAATTCAATAGGAAATCCATATTAAGTACACCATTAGCTGCTGTCAGAGCATTAAAACGTTGTGATAATTATTGTATTTAAAACAAAGCAATTAAATTAAATGTCAGACATAAAGGCTTATATAAAATGTATATAATATTCAAGACATTAAATATTTTTTATATATATAAAAAAATTGTCACAATTTTTCATAAATTATTGTCATTTGTTTTAAGTATAATATTTAGGAAAATATTTTAATCGCAAAATACTTCATAATGCACTATAATATCAAATATTTTCAACACTAATTAATATTTAAATTTATACTTTACTTTGCTATTTAATAAATAGGCTTTTGTTTTGCTTTTTTGTTTTAATCTAAACTACAATTCAAATCAAACTAACAGTTAAAACGATGTGATTTATATTGAAATATATATCACTTTGGATAATGGTTTTGGTGGAAGTGTTTGTATTGTTATATCATATTATCGTATATTATATTCAGATATCAGGGATAGACATAAATATATAACAAAAAAACTATTTGTATATAAAATTAATGTATTATACGTGATATTTGGCGAACAATTTCATTAATGTAATACACAATTATGGGTTCCCTTCAATCCCAGTCTCGTAGAGATACACATTATATTAACGATAGGATATAATTACAAAACTCTCGTTATAATGAACTCAATTTGTGTAACAATAATCACAACAATAATATTGTTATTGTTATACAATTACAAACAATTGCTAAATACCGGTAGCGATATTTAATTTGATTTCTGGTACTTTTGGTTAAGGTTTGTGTTTTTGCTTTATGGTAAAAAACTATTAGTCGCGGTAAACTCAGTAACCGGTAAACAGGGGGTGGGGGTCACACCAAAGCAAAAAGGTCCTCGTCATAATAAAAAAATAACTCACAATTAAACGTAATGTGAAAAAATCAATGAGAAATCAATTTAATTGTTTACTCAATCAATGTGTTTGCGAAAGCGATTGACAGACAAAACAGCAATAAAAAAGTCAATAAAAACAAAAATATTGGCCCAAAAAACACAGAAAATTGAGTTAAAAAACTTAATTTTGTTATATCAACTAATTGTGAACCACTCTATCATAACTAATTGAATAGTCGTTATGTAATTGTGTATTGAATTACACATACAATGTATACATGTATATCATATAACGTTGTAATATAGGAAAAAAGTGATCGAGAGGGAAAATTACTATTGTAATCAAATAGCTGTCGGGTGTTATAATAATCAACTAATAAACAACTAATAACTAAATAATGTTAATAATAATGATAACTAAAGAAATATAATAATCAAAAATTATAGCAAAACTCTTACCTAAACTGCTTGAATGGTGTCTATCAAGCGTTGCGCTAATTATCTGTTCATTATTTTCATATATTCTCTCATTATTGGCGGCAATGATATCTATATTTGTATAATGAGTGCCAGAATTGCATCTCTTTTTGTCACTTTTGGCAGTTCTGGCACTAATCGCACGGCTATTAGCGTCGGCAACACCTCCAGCAGCGCCGGTGGTCATCACCAGTTGGTGTTTGAGGTGATGGTCATCATAGGAACAGCTATTCTCGAGACTAGATGTCGAGACACTCTCGAGCTTTGAGATGAGCTGGGTGAATTCATCGCTGGTAAAGTCTATGCTGGGCGTAATGGCCGGTGTGGTTGGGGCCGACACCGACACACGCGGTCGTTGGTGTTTAGGCACATACTTGTGGTGTTGGAGGGGCTGTTGACTAGTACTCGGGGGTCCAATTGTCGATTGATTATCATCACTGGTAACGAGATTGTGGTAGTGATGCCGTAATAGCCGGGCGGCGTTCAGTAGCCTATGCTGTGCGCACCGGTCGCTAATACCGCACTCGTTAAGCCTGTCCTCATTGACCACTCGGGCCAACAGTTTCGGGTCACTGTAGCCATAGATTGTTAATAGATTCAGATGCAGATCCGATAACCCGATGGCCTGTTTAATGTCTGCGAGAGTCAATGGCCGGCCATCAGCACCGGCTGTCTGCGAGTCCATTAGCACTGATTTGAGTCTATCGTTAATCACATTACACTCTCCATTACACTGATGACCGTCGCAGACACTGGCGTTGCTATGATTATCATTGCAGTGATTGGTACCTAGTCTTTGGTGATGCTGATGATGATGTTGATGGTGGTGGTGGTGATGAGCACCGGTGTCCACGCCCTGGTGCTCGACAGTGATGGGGATAATGAGCTTAATCCCCTTTGTATTGGCCGGTCGGCCGACGGCACCGGACGGGTGATGGTGTCTGATCTCCTCGACATTGACAAACTTGAAGTGCCCGACCCGGCCGTTGGCCATACCAATCCAGGTGCCCGACTCGTCCTTAGATATGATCGATATGGTGTCCCCCCTCTGGCCATACATTCACACCGATTAGAGTTATCATTAAAAACAATCAAAAAGTTATATATATTTGATAATTGAGGGAAAAAACAAGAAATTAAACTCATTTTTGAGACAAAAATATAAGTCAATCGATAGTTTTGATTGATTAGGAGAGCCACGAGTGAAATGACTTATTAATTAATATAATTAGCCTATAAATACATGGTTAAAAACATGGTATATATTTGTGACTCTCTCTCTCTCTCTCTCTCTCTCTCTCTCTCTCTCTCTCTCTCTCTCTC